ATATATATATATGTAGTTTAACCCCAGTGGTTCCCATTTTTTTACTATCCTTATTTTTTGGTTAAATGTAAGTCTATTTGTCAGACAAAAAAGTCACCAAATGAGCCAAACATACCCAGAAGCAGCACGACAAATCATTTTTATAGTAAAAACCTCTCTAAATACATATTTTTCTATTCATTTTTAAAATATTTCCATCTAAAGTTTGCTTTATTGCTTTGTATTTTGTGCGTTTGGACTTTAAAGATRGCTCCATCTGACAAAAACAGGCTAATGATGTCTCACACCTTCTGAAGTTTCTGCTCAAAGCTGGGGGAGGTAGGCTTAGAAAAAAAAAAGAAGCCAATTCAAAGACGACTTTTTGTTTTGTTTTCAATTTATTTCATCTGCTCAGTGCTCACATTTGTCAAACTTGCACAGCGTACTGGCCAAAGCTTCACACATGAGGTTCTTGGAACAAGTTGAGCTTTTATCACCCGTTTAGCTTCATCTGATTGGTTTATTGTAGTCAGTGACACTGATTAAGATGCAGGAGAACTAAGGTTTGTCTCACCGCTGAGTCTAATGAGACCTAATTTATACATTCTTGTTTGAAGTGGCCCTCTGGGAGCAAGGAACCACGTTCATGGTCAGTGGTCATGGCAGAATCACAATGCTGCTTGTACAAAATAATATAAATGAAAAATAAGTTCTTAGCAAAGAAAAGGATCATGGCAATGCTTTGCTTTAATAAATGTAKCTGTACGCTTTCGAAACTGATCTAGTTTTTGAACTACTTTGTCTTCAACAAATGTTCTTTGATTACTTTTGACTTATTAGTAAAATAAACTCTTAAGTTTTGAACTTGCCTAGGCCTAAGTAAAAAGTTGCTATCCCCAACTTCTCTGAGTTACAGCAGAGATATAGCAGCTCCATCCATCAATCTTTCACTTTTTATGTTGCTGCTTCGGGGTAAAGAATGAAAGAGAAAATAATTCCACATCAGTCTGATTTCTCARGTTTTCATCACCCTGTGTTATCAAGAGGAGTCATTTATGAATCAAGTCTGAAATGGCAATAATTTGATTGAACCTCTGCCACTAGCTCAACCATTACACTCCCAAACACCTCTGTTCTTCCACACTTCTTCATTTCTGACATTCCAATTATCTCTGCATCAATCATTAAAACCTATTAACATTTCATGTGTTTCTTTATGAAGGATAATATGCTGTAGACTCAGTCTTAACGCTGAGAGAGAGGTTTTTTTTACACTCCTCTCATGGAATAAAAATTTTACAGCTTATTATATTTGAATCCTCATGTCACTATATCATGCAACATCCAAGTGGAGTTAAACACACTTCCTGCTTCCTGAATGTGACAAGAACCGTATGCTAAAAAGTTTCAGTTACATTTTAGTTGCTTTTCTTTTCCTCAAACAAAAAGTCATGAAACCAAACTTRTTTTACAGTGTGTCATTCTTTGACAAGCATGCCATCAAATATAACACGATTAATCTTTTTTAATAATGTGTTGACAGTGTAGCTACCATGAGGTGTGAAAATATTTGTCAGGTTACCTAAAAAAAATCAATCATCCCAGCTCTAAAGGGAATGAAATAGCAGGGAAATCCTGCATTTTTGCAAAGCAACAAACATTAAAGTGAAGTACAACCCCTGCAGATCAACTAGTTGTCCCCTCTGAGCTCTACAAATTATCAACACACATTATTTCTATTTAGTTCAAGACCTTTTGTCCTTCCTGCGTCTGAAGCGGTCACATTTTCAGCTACTTTCCAGAGAAACCCCACGGTAAGATTAATTACAGGTGGGAAGCAGATCAGTGGCGAATAACTAGCTCGTGCTGGCTTTTAAGGGCCGCCGAGCCTCTGCAGACACACGAACCTGAAACTTTACACCACATCCATTAGGCGCACACGTTTTCATGCTAAACACCTTCACTGATGAACTCAATAGGTTCAGATTTGTCAGCAGATAATCAGTGTTAGACGCAGTGATTGTTTAGGGTTTGCATTTAAAACCTTTTCAGAAATATTATTTTTCTAAAATTAGGCATAACCTTAGCTGATTGATTTCTACCCTGTTTTCTTTCAACTTTCAGGGTGGCAAGTTATCACAAAATACCTGTCTGTCTGTTAGCAAAATATTTCAAGTGAGATTATCTATCTATCTATCTATCTATCTATCTATCTATCTATCTATCTATCTATCTATCTATCTATCTATCTATCTATCTATCTATCTATCTATCNATCTATCTATCTATCTATCTATCTATCTATCTATCTATCTATCTATCTATCTATCTATCTATCTATCTATCTATCTATCTATGTTCCGTACCATAATAAAATATCTTTGTCACCGTTAGTTGTTACTAAAATGCTGTTTTTTATGTTTAAATAGAAAACTAGAAGCACTCGGAGAGTGCAAACCTCCGCCAAGGCCAATTTCACCCATCCTGCAATAGAGTTAATGTGCAAAAGGAGAGATGGAAACACATTTTCCAAATAAGTTCTGACGTAGCGAACATTAATGAATGGGCTTTCTTCCCAATGGAGTTCAATGTAAAAAAAAGAAAAAGAAAAAAAAGTCAGACTCACCCGACGTTATWTATCCACAAACTGGTSCYGGATTAAGCTCCAAAGTTTTCATCAGTCWGATTCCACCATGTAAAACGTCTGTTTTATCCCCTTTTATGAGTTTTTAGTGGTTTGAATATCTTTCTAAACTGCTTCCTGGTACAATCGACTGAGCATCTGAGTGCTTTTAGCACAAACAAACACTCCCATGAACTTGTGACCAATCACACAGTAAAGTTCTTATGTGGAGGCGGTAGCTCACATGGTTGATCAGCTGTTCCCACTGTCTGGTACCRGTCCRGTGTAACACYGGYACGGCTCRGCTGRAGCAGGACCCTCCCCCCGCTGTCAGTGTCTTCTCAGTTATTCCCTTATTGTGAAAAGAAGCACATTTCTTTTTCTACGTCTCCAGACAGCAACATCGCCAAAACTAGTTCATAACAGAATAATCACAACGTTCCTGATAGTAAACATCCTGGGAGGTGTTGTCCCAGCGAGTTTGCGATTTCTACTTCCTGTTTCCTACAGACATGCGTCTGACGTAATGACACTTTGCGTAGCCTGGCTGATTCGCTCAAATTACAAGAAAAATTCCTGTATCTGCATTGTGATCCAGAATATCACCAAAATTTAACGGTGTGTTCCTTTGGCCAATGTCCACATGTGGTAAAAATGTCATGACAATCTGTCCACTCGTTTTTGAGTAATTTCGTCGACAGACAGACAGACAGACAGACAGACAGACAGACAGACAGACAGACAGACAGACAGACAGACGGACAGACGCAACTGAATACATTACCTCCTCCCTTGGCGGATGTAATAAATTCTTCTCATCCTTTCCATTTCTAAACACCTTGAAATTGGCCGCTGTCTCTTTAAGAACCTCCTTCCGCTTCTGTCCCACCCATTTAAATATGGGAGGGGGGTGGGGAGCGGCTGTGATATACAAGCTCGGTGTAGTTTACTTGGYATCTGAAAATACATTTCCTCAAAAGGTATTTTGAATTTGAAAGGGGCTGCGATCAGAAGTAGTATTGGGAGCTCAGCAGATAGTTTCAGTTTCACTTTCAGTTTCACCAGTTGTTTGCTTTGTTGCAGCCGAGAGCCTGCAGGAGGAGCTGATCATTTTTGCTCCCCTGCCTGGCTGCCTCAGGACAGCACAGGATTTCTCAAACATGCATGAATGAGTCAAAGTAAGACTTTGGGCATGTTTTTGATGAGAGGATATCATCATAACATGATATAAAACTCAAAAAAGTTGATCTTACATGATATAGCCCCTTTAAAGCTCTTAGATTCTTAGGGGGCCTCATTGGTGGGCCTCATGGGAGTCATATATGATCAACCTGAGCCAATACAAAAATGCTATAACTCAGTCAGTTGGACAAAAAATTGAGCTAAGATTTTGAGCTGAGTGTTAACCCCAACATATTTCAAAAGCTAACATATTGTGCAATGTCTTTAGGTTAACATTTAACATGTGAAATGGCAGGTGCATTTAATGCACATGCATCATTCTTTTTGTTCCAAAACTTTAATATTGTTGCCATAAATAAATGCATCTGCTACTGCCTAAACCCATCACAAATTATTATTATTCCTTCAAGGAATTCCAGATGTCTGGCCTCGTAAAAGCCTTAAAGAAACTTTCTTAAAATCCACAGATTTTGTTTGGCTTCAAGGGTAAAAGAGGTCAGATTTTAATGTGCGAAGTTCACCGGTCAAAACTGGATTTCAGCTCTGCCTCCCTCCATCCACACCTTGATGTAATTTAATGACTTTTGACACAAACTCAATGAGGAATTTTAAGTGAAGGTTTTTGATTCCTGCTACATCACAGAACACATTAATGTCTTCAACTCTAAAATTCATGTGCTGGTTTTGACAGAATATCCCACAAATGACTATTAGAACAAAATGATAAAAAGGGTTGATATCTTATTGCCAAAGGCTTTTTGTTTAATTTCACTTTGACATCAATAAAGGTCTACAAAAAACACTTTTCTGGATGTGATTTATCACTAAAACTCAGGAGCAGAAGGAGAGGAAAACGTCAAGTCCAATGTTACAGCTGACAGAGGGATAGAACCAGGGGGCAGTAAATCTGTTCATATAAATCATGCAGACCTTTTTTATATGACRAATTTTTCCCATTGTTGTGCTGCTATTTTGTTAAAACATCTAGTACAGTGTGATACTTCACTATAATTAATAAGAAACATATTACAGTTTGTTAGATATTTAAACCATGTATTATGATTCAAGCTGACAAGTCTTTACTTTTTATTTTCCACCCTGCGTTGTTTCACACACAGGAATGCATCTGTCCTCCCCGTCTTCTGCTGTTAACATAATGGTTCCCATAAGGGCTGATGCCAGAGTTGGGGAGAATCAAAGCGTCGAAGATTCCTGGAAACTCCGTCTTGACATTGTCATCTTTTACTGAGAGCAAACGGAGAGATCTCCAACATCACTGGCAGCTGGAAATTTGTTCGGGGACCAAATGAAGTTTAATCAGGACAGTGACAATTTACAGCCTGGAACAATCTGAACATCAAACAGATTTCGCTGCCTGTGAGTGCATCGCAAATCATGTCAGGTTGCAGAAGACAGCATGCACAATCAGAAAAAAAAAGGAAAAAAGGTAAATGACTTTTTAAATGCAACCAGGCAAGAAATGTAAGAACAAATCCATCAAACGTCGACATTAGTTGGCTGGTTAGGAGTTTTACCTTTAAGCATTCATTCATTCAGCTCATTTTTTTTATAGCTGCGTTAATAACATTTTGGCATCAAAACTGAGGGTAACACTCACAGTTTATTTAGGTTGAAATGACTTCCACTGTATTTTATGAAGTAGTCTTTTTAAGCTTTTAAAATGCTATAAAGATTTTATATTTCGCATGTTAGTCAGTTTGCTTGTTTATTAAGTAGGTTAACCRGGCCTTATTGTCTAAATAGAGAAAAAGTGTTTGGGAAAACTAGAATTAATTTTCAAAAAGTATCAAGCAAGCCTTTTGAAAAGCTGTCTGTTGTAAAGTTTAAATCTTTGTTTTGTCTTGTTTAAAATCTTTTCTGCTGTGGTTTGCTTCAGTGGTCGATCTGATTTCCTGTATAAGGGAAGTGGATGACGTCAAGACTTTACAGATTAGAACAMGACAGAAACATATTAAAAGAAAAATGTTTGTGCTTTTAAAAATATGCGAAGTCTACTTGCTGGATGCTAACGTAAATCACAGAAAGCGTAATAAAACAAATAAAAAATAAAGGTAATTTATAAAGTGGCCTCTTTAGGTCTCAGTCTCTGATGGCCACATCTGTTTTTTATTTTGATAATATATAAGAATATGTTCATGTCTGATTACTTTCCTTTCTATGTAAAAAATCAAGCTTAKACATGTCAGCAGCTGTATACGTAGCTCAACATTCTGCAACAGATGTAATTTTAACACTGTCTGTCACCGTACGTCCTTCATTTAGCTTTGCATATTTTTAGACTGCATTTAGTTCAGTTTCATCCGTACAACTTTTCTTTTTTTAGAGCTCACAAACAACTGGAACTGTGCGAGACGTGCATCTCAAATCATGCAGAGATCCCAGGAAGTGATGTGTTTGTAACCTCGGTGACGTCTCAGTTTCAGAAGATTGATTGGATGTCGGAACATCTGTAAGAAAATTTATCATCCAGTTCGCAGCTGCCAATACTGCAGCTTTAACGTCAGTTTCATCGTCCAAGAACAACAAGCATGTCATTCAAACCAATTAACAACACTAATTACAATAAAATGTAAAAAAAAAATGTATTGTATAAGTTGATAAACAAATTGTTAGTTTATTATTGAGTCATGAGAAAATCAAATCTTGCAGGATGCCATTATTAATTATTACAAATATTAATACATTTATTTTTAATAAAACAAACCACCATCTAATTTTACCCTGATCAAAACATTTGTTAGTTTTACTTAAATCAGAGAAATACATTTTTTGCATCATCTTTAGTGTAAATATATGTACTTTAAAAAGCAAGTGCACCCACTTACACAATGAACATTAGCATCTTGTACGTTCTCAATGTGTCGAATGTGCTGAACAAACCTACAGAACATCATTTGAATCCATTTACTGCTCCTTCTTTCTGTGGGTCAAGTTTTTACAACATGAAGAGACTGTCTTTTTACAATATTCTAATATTTCTAAATTAATACAAAAACTTCATTAAGGAATCATCAAGGCTATCAGTTTGTAACTGAATTATGGAATTGTAAGCTGTCTGCTGTCCTGCATTAATGTAAAACCACTACAAGTTTCTCTACTGGCATTTTTTGCACTGTGAGGCCTGGCCTGGCCCTGGTCTACCCCAGCCTTGGATGTGTTTGTTTCGAGCACAGTGCCGCCTTAATGTGGGCATCAGCATCATCATCAGCTGCATATTGAAGACATTTATTTAGTCCTTTAGAAACTGATTTTAAAAGCACCACATCCTTTTCTTAGTTTTCCTTTTTAAGGCTTGACTTTTATAATCTATTGTTATGTCTTGATTAAAATAGATTTAGGTACATGTCCGAAACACTTTCACAACACGTAAAAAAACGTTAATCAAACGTTGAGGAAAGGAGGTTTGGATGAGTGCCTGCGATACAGCCGCAGGCCTGTAGTGGGYGTACCGTGCACTGAAGATCCCTGTATCTAAAGGCCGGAACTTCCGGTTTCGGACAGCGCTGCTCTGTTTGCGTCAGCCGTAAGCAGTAAAGCTTCGCTCAGAACCAGATCTGGGGTTGTATGGTCCATTCTCTTCACATTTTAATCTATTCAATATGCATGTGGTTTTGTCACGATTTCAGTTGACAAACATGAAATATTCTTACAATATCAAAAACACACAAATCTAAATGTGATGTCATTTATTCACAGCACAAAAATGGATGATATGAAGCTCATTCTACTTTTTGTTGTATTTAATACAAGAACAGCTAAAAGACCGTGAGAGAAGGCGGTGTTGCCAATAGAAGTGCAGCTTTTGCCAGACGAAATACAGCAGAAAGGTACCCAAGACTATACCAGACCATCCAGCATGATCCAGAAGACGACAGGGCAAGACAACAGAGGACAGTCAACTTATGGTGACTGAAGTCCAATCRGCCACAGCAGCCTGGTCCAAACCGAACCCCAGATCTCTGGGTTCCAGAAATCAGGCTRRAAGTAGGCCATAACATCCAATGTAAATATGCAGAARCTAGGCTTGAACCCAGGCCAGGCCTTACATCACAAAAACACCATAACTGCAAAATTTGGTGCCTCCTTTTGACCCAGCACAGAGCATAGTGGCCATAGTGAAAATGGCCCATCTACCTTCTGCTGCTTTACAGCTAAAAGAATCACCAACTCTGAACACAAGCTCATGTGATGCGTTTAAAAGAAAGTCTAGCCTGATCTGTCACTCGCCAATCAAGTAGAAAATTGGCCAATTTCTTTCAGTCACCATCAGACATGTCCCCCAAAATTACCTTTAAAAAACGGCTGCCACACAATCTTTTTATCTGAAAGAAAACAACAACAATTATACACTGTTGCTTTTCACAGACAGAAATATATTTAAACAGTTCTGATAAAAAAAAACGAGACTGAAAAAAGGCCGCTGGGAAAACAGAACAATGTTTCATTTTTTTTGTGCTCTGATGTAATTGTGGTGGGTGTGAAACCATCTCGGTGCCAGTCAAATAGATTGATTTCCATGTTCACAGGGGGGTCAGCTTTCATATCAGAGATGCTGTGATGTGATTTTGATTGTGACTGCTTCAGTGCCACCCTACTGAGATGATGTTTTTGGCTGCTGTCTTAGATATTTGAAATTGCTTTAATAACAATAGAAGCTGACAGACAGACAAAAACTGCAGAGATCAGACAAAGAACTTAAATCGAGTCCACGATTAGTTACCTTTCTATTGGAGCTTCGGTTAAAAAGCGCTTCCATTGTATGCAGAGTTTACATAACTTATGTCGCTGTAGAGCAATTGGAGTGTTTATGGGAATAATGAAAGGGCAGTGGTGTTCTTAGTTCCTGCCTTTGTAATGCAACAGAGACTTCCCTCAATGCTACTGCGAAGACATCCAATTAAAATCAGAAAATATGGCCTTTGAGTTGGAGGTTACTGCTCCCAGTGGCGTCCCACTAACAATATTTTCATGGACAAATGTCTTTAGATCGAAATAAATATACTTCACCGTGTGTGTTTCTGTGCGTGCGAGTCTCCAAGTAACAGTGGGAGTGTTAACTTCRTGCAACTCGGCATTTCTCACTGTTCACAGTTCGGTATGTTGGCGGCCTTAAAAGCAGATCACAATTAGGATCCAGATGCAAACAGCAATAAAAAGAGCCGAGCCGCTCGGCGGACTCAGTCAACCACGGCCCGTTGATCCAACATGTGGGGGACTGGAAGATTGAAATGTATTTTTTCATATATTCATTGCTTCGTTCCTTCTGTTCAAACGTGGTCTACACAACTCAAGGACGCTTTCTGTCAGTACATGAGACACTCTGAGATTAGATGCCGCTTACTTTTCTTTTTTAAAGACTCAAAGGTTGGAATCTTTTCTTTGGCCTTCCTGGTCAAACGGTTTTGAATGTTTCAAATCTGATACCTTTTGAAGCCTGATCTGCAGATCATGAGTGCTGATTTTGGTCATGGTTAAAAAAATAAAAGTTTGATAAAAATGATAAAGACTGGAATTTTGGCTTTGCTTTTCAGCCACGCAGTCGGTTTCTTTAAGTCCCTACCGACAGAAAGGGTCTTGAAAATCCAAAATCCATWTATGATAAATTTTTTTGTGATGCTTGCTCTGAAGATTGCACCAAAAATAAATAAAAGCTCCTTCTATTTCAGTCTTTTTGGTGATGCTAAAATTTACTCATTTAAATACGGCAAAATGTGAAAAAAAGGCATGCAAACTATATTTTTTGTGACTATTACACTTCTAAACATTGGTATTCCAAGCTAATCAAATATAAATTCTCTCCAAGAAGCATAATAATAGATGTTGAATATGTATGTAAAATTAATCCTCTTAAATTTATTCCATCTCACTGACACCATGATGAGATTGATCATTCGAAACAGTCAGCTAATTTTGGCTGTTCTAAATGACTGAAGCGGGTGCAGAGATCACGGCCACAATGCTTACAGTTCAAAAGAGGAAAAAAAAAAGGTTTTCCAACAGTAAACTCACAAACATTTGTCCCACCAGAGCTTTACACCTTTTATGAATTAGTTCAGCTTTGCCTCTCTGCTTGTAATTACTACCCCCATCTGAATGAGCTTAGCGGGCGAGTGTGAAGGAGTCCCAGTGAAGCCCAGCATGGGTCCTTTCAGTCCTACATATTCCAGCCTTGCCATTTTACACACACACACACACACACACACACACACACACACACACACACA